TTTTTATATAAAAAAATTATTTTAATTTAAAAAATATATAAAAAATCTTAAAATATTTTATTAATATATTATTTTTTTTAAAGAATTTTTATTAATAATATTATAAATATTAATAAAATTCTTAAAAAAAATTTAAAATAAAATATTAATATAAATAATAATTTAAATATTTTTTATAAATAAATTTTTTTATTATTTTTATTATTTAAAATTATATAAAAAAATTAAATTTCTATATATTATTTTAATATTTTATAATATTAATTATTATTTATATCTTAAATATAATTTTAATTAGGAAAATAATTTATAAATATTTTATTATATTTTCTATAAGTTTTTTTAATAATAAATAAATAATTCCTTAGTAATAATTTTTTATTTATTTAATTAATAAATCTCTATAATTATATAAGATATTAATATTTTTAATAAAAATCTTAAAAAAAAATTAAAAAATCATATATAAAATTTTAAAAAGATATTTATTATATTATAGAGCTAATTTAAATAAAAATATAAATTATATTTCTTTAAACCTAAGATTATTTTATAAATAATATTTTATTTTAAATAATAAAAATAAAATATAATCTTAAAATATAATTAAATAATATTAAAAATAAAAATATAATAATTTTTTATTAAAAAATAAATATTAAATTCTTTAATTATATAATTTAATGTCTTATTAATATTATAATAAAAATAATAATATATATTAAAATTAATTATTTATAAGAGAAAATAGCTATAAGTATTAGAAATAGCCTTAGAGATAAGATTAATAAGGAGAATATATTATATTATACCTTAATTAAACCTTAATTATATATCTTATATTATTTAATAAAACCTTATTAATTAATAAAAGAAATATATAATTTATCCTTATATATAAAAGCTAATATATATTACTTAATATAAAGGTAATAAATAATTATAACTTATTTATATAAACCTTAGTAATTTATTTAATATATAATATATACTTATTTATATTTTCTTATATATAACTTATTTTAATTATTAATATAACTTAGTTATACTTTATGCCCTTAAATATATTATTATATATAACTTATAATACCCTTTAAGGTTATATAATAATATTTTCTATTAATATAAACCTAATATAATTAGCTTATCCCTTAGGAATCCTATAATTATTATATTTATCTTAGGGTTATAGTATTTTATAATATTAGCTTTTAATATTCCTATATATTTCTTTTATTATGTTTTTTTAATCATATGCCTAATAAATACGTTTATAAATATGTAGAATTATAGCCCGTCGTACTCGCCTTAATAAAGAGAACATAGCAAGGCAAAAGGTCGTCGAACTACCTTAGCAGGTAGTTAAGTAGAACTACCACGGCCACGGCGAGTAACAGAGATTGATTAGGCAGATAACATAAACCCCAAGCGTTGCCATACTAATGCCATATTTAGTACTTTTACGCAAGGCCCTTCGGTCTAGATCGTCATACTTATTCCGCGAAGTCTTAGGCGCGTCATGGAACCGAGCTATCAAGCCCATGCTTCTGCCGTCCATTGCGGCAGAGATGACAATCATAATGCCGATAGGACTACGCAACTGGCCGAGGACCACCTCTACCTGGCTTGGTTCAGACACAAGTTTCTGAAGGAAAGAGCTGAGTAAGGCGGCGAGTTTGGTAGTGTATTGAAAACAACATTTCATGCCTAAAATCAACGACCCTCACAAGTGACTAAGCGGGAATCTAGACCATGGCAGGGCCAGGGAGTTGGCAAGATCCTCACTGTGTGATCAGTAGCCTGACCTGGTGTGTATTGTAGTGGGAATTTCGGAGCACTGGGATAAAGTTCTAGCCAGACTTTACATCTCCTAGTCTCTTAGTTGAAGGGGTTTAGCAACTGCCATGAGAACTCGAACTCGTCACTAGCTCAGGAGACGGACATCCCGACATAAGGACTGGGAGAAACGCGGGAGAGGCTGAACGGCCTGCAAAGCCTAGAACTATTAGAGCTGTCACTCCTTCGCATAAATGTTTTGAACAAGATACACCATCATTCGAGCAGACAGCTCCCGAAAGCAAGAGCGATGAAATCATCCAATTTTTATTCTACCTTGTCCTTACTCGCCGGCTTAGGTAGCACTAGACAGGCCCTAGGTGTCTCCATCCTCCAGGTCACAGAGCCAAATGTCGCGCAAGGTACTCTACGCATCCATGGTGATGATGCCCACCGAGTCTATATGCGCCGCCTTCTTCCCACCGATGTTCCAAGAGCTCGATGCACAGAACTCAAGCAACAGAGTGTCATTCTCAAGAAGGGCACCACGCGCAGGGAGGTGACCAAACCCTTCAGCAGTGGCATCTTGTTTGCACGGGATGTTCCTGTCACCCTCCCAGACGGAATCCCAATCTACACTGATGTTTTTTCGACCCGTGGGGGCCCAATGAGTTCCAACGGTGGTAGCCTGGAGTCTATACCGGAAGTAGGAGGACAATCGCTCGACGACCTCACGAGCCGATCCAATGTCCCCCTTTCCCATGTCTCTGAGCTACAGAAGTTTGAAGCCCCGGACCTGGCCTATTGGGTCTGCCAGGGATATGCAGTCCTCAACCCCGACGCCCGCGGTGCGTACGAGTTCAATGGTAACATAACGAACTGGGGTCGCCAACTTGCTGAAGATGGATGCGACATCATCGAATGGGCAACTGCTAAGCCATGGAGTTCTGGGAGGACTGGCATGACTGGAAATTTATTCCTAGCCATATCCCAATGGCATGTTACAGCGTCGAATCCTCCATGCCTGGCCGCCATCGCCCCATGGGAAGGGGCAACAGATATTTTGCGTGCAGCAGCTACTTCCCTGAGCATCGGTAACCTGGGCTTTAAGGAAGCCATCATTACCACTTTGTTGGGCAACAACTCTGTGGAAGACTCTCCTAGGATGTATCTCAACGGCAAATTTTATGACAAGTACCAGAAGAATCGGACCCCGCAGTGAAGTAACATCACTGTTCCTCTATACGTTGTGACGAGTAACACGAACCTGGTGCGTACTCATGGAACCTTTGACGGTTTCCGCAATATTCTCTCCAGGAACAAGTGACTTCGAGTGCACAACCCACACGAGTTGACAGGCTTCTACTAGTAGGAATACACGGAAGAGCTACGCATATTTCTTTTTTATCGATACCTCAAAGGTGAACAAAATGGCTAGGAGAAGAAACCTCGAGTCAGGACATCAGTTCCTGATCCAGGTTCTACTGACACGGTGGACCGTGAGGTCAAAGATTGGACTGTGGCGGGATTGAAGTCGCAGCCTTTCCCACTCCACCCCAACAGCTCTCTTGCAGGGAAACAGGCACGCAGACAGGGTCCTGTTTCGTATGAAATTGACGCTAACATGGCTGGGGTGACGTTCTCCTACAAAGTCCCAGAACTGGTCGAGATCAAGAGCGATATCAAAGTCCGACTTTGGGTGGAGGCCAAGGGCTCGGAAGAAATGGAGTTGGCCATCAAGGTTGAGAAGAGGGACGCAGATCGCAACGCCTTCCTGCATTTCGCCAGTGTAGAAAGCACTGAGCCTGTGGCGCGAGGCAATATTTGCGTTACCTGTAGGGCACTGGACAAGAGTTGCTCAACACCAGCTAAACCATACCTCCTACACGAAAGGGAGGACTTGCTGAGCTGTGGCCAGATATTTCCTGTTGATATTGTTCTATGGCCAACACCCTTACGAACGCTGAATTTGTAGCTACCCAACGGACTAAGACATCTGCGACACGAAACAATGGAACTCATGGTATTCATTTCGGAGGGAGATTCAAGAGCTATGTGCTGTGGCCACTGAACAGAACTGCTTCTTAAGTGGTCCTTCGTCTTGCATGGTTAGGTAGCTGCCCACCATTTGATTTGTGAAGACAGGACAGTCCACGGCCGATGACATGATATCACGTAGCTAGTCAGAAACTGAGGGGGGTCCTCCAAACTTGCCAGCAATACGCCAGCTGGTGGTAATGTAACCTTCCATGAGGACCATAGATTCATATCAGAAACTAGGAAGAGTAGCCTTCTCCATTTCAATGAAAGTCTATACCTCAACTGATACGTTATTTTTGCTGTTCATCAATCCATATACCTCATTAGCATATATGCCCGACCCTCTTGGATCATCAAATCTGAATTCGTGTAAAGCCTTGGAACTTTCTTCTCACTAAGCGCTCTAGTTGTTTGTTTAAGACTAATTATTCATGAAGCATAGAGGGTTATGGACAAAACATTTGCCCATAGGCTTTCAACCGCCGTGGTCTCTGGAAATACTATCTTAGGGCTCCCTTGAAGCGCGCCGATGTTATTCCCTCCCGGAGGATGATGATGATTCCCTGGTTCCAGTTAACCTGTCGACTTTAGAAGCGACTGAACGCACCTTCTCGATCTCAGATAGCCAATAGACACAATCTGACCATTCAGGTTAAATTTAATGATAAGCGGCGGATCTGACCCTTTAGGATAGGAGCGAAGCGGCTCGCGGGTTGTTTAAAGATCCGATCAGAGGCCCAACTGGTTGGTTGATTTTGCCGCTGTCCAGCGTATCTCAATTTTGCCCTCAAGTCAATACATATAAAAACACCTGCCGCAGACTTCGTGCTGTTAGTTAAAAACGGGTGACAAGGTATGTTCTGAGAGCCACTGAAAGTTCTCATAGTGCCGATGACGTGCCGTGTGCCTAAACATCCCTTTCACCTGGTAAATTCGATCATAATTGCTGGCCCCTCTGTAATCGTCCATTATCTTAGTAGAAATAAGCCAGGCTTATTTAGAAAATATTCACGGAAACAGTCAAGGGGATAGTCCCATAATCCCCCATCGTAACTATGACAGCTGTTTGGCTGACTAGAAGCCATATAGAAGGAATATGTCTTCGCAAGAAGCCTGATACGCAATATGGGTTGACATATCTTTGAGACTTCTGTTTCAGTGCAGATATGTGCCAAGAATTTTGTTGTTTATTTTTCTAGTTGATGGCTTTAGTTTGGCGGTGTGATCAAGACTCAATGAGCAAGCAGCGCCATCAAGCGGAACCGGCGATAGTCACTGCGAGCGAGACACTGGCGAGTTACTAGTGAGATACAAGAAGCAGTATTAAGAGTTTGGGAGCATAATAGTCATGGTTTTGAATGAAACGGGAGATGATGCGGCATATAGATAATATGTGGTCAGGCATATGAGTGAAAGTCAAGAGGCGAAGAAATATATTATAATACCGTGGTACATGAGGGCTAGGTCTGAAGGATACGGTAAAATAAAGAAGAGTTTATTCTAGAGCAAAAAATAGTAATCCATCATAGAGACTACTGGTGACTGTTAGGCGATAGCTAGTGTGTGTTTCCAGATCGTAGCAAGAGTAGATATGTTTAGAAACCTCTGTAACAAAACCCTTGCCCGCAATAATCAAGCATACAGCTATAAATAGACGCTCGCGTTTAAGAAATAAATCAATTATAAGCGTTTATCCAGCAAGGAAGACCATTATAGGGCATACCTTATGGCCACATGTCCATTCGAGATCCCCCCTGACAGCACGAGCTCACTCAGCCTTCTGGCGTGGACGAGTTTTAGACTCCGATACGCGTCAGGATAACATTTCTGTCGTCGGCAACACGGGATTTGTCCAGTCCCGTAGCGAGTGGCCAATGTGATGAGGGTTGCTAACCATTCTGAACCATGATCTCCATTACCGTTTCCGGTGGTAACTACAACAAGAATGGTTGACCTTGAAGGAGGACTTGGCTCATCTCCACAAAGATGTGGGTATTAATCGGTGATGAAAATAACTTCCGATGCCGTATCGGCGTGGAAGCATGGAAGCTTAATTGATCAGGGGCAGCCCCTTGCATTTCAGCGTCGTAGCTAAATTGGAGCATGCCCAATTTAGTCAACACGGCATTTTGAGAAGCCGCCAAGTGCCGCTTTGTAATATTTGCAACTTGCTATAATACCGACCGTTGGCAGGCTGGTTGGCAATGTGAGTCAAACTACCAAACAACAATCATTCGACGCATTCAAAATCATGGGATTCAAAGTCATCATCGTGGGAGGCAGTGTTGCTGGCCTGTCGGTGGCCAACATGCTGGAGCAATTCGACATAGACTACGTCCTTCTCGAAGCCTACCCGCATATAGCGCCTCAAGTCGGTGCCAGTATCGGCATCCTTCCCAATGGCTTCCGTATTCTCGACCAACTGGGGTGCTTTGAGCCCATCCTTGACATCGCTGGAGAATGCCGCTATACCCTTGGCAGCATGCGAGGACCCGACGGGGTTCCGATCACTGCCAGCTCCGAGACGAGTTTGTCAGTCCATTTTGAGAAGAGGTAGCAACAGGCTCCGCGCGCAATTATTGCCAGCCACTTAACTAATCATAATGGTAGAGTCGGATATCCCTCGATCTTCATCGACCGGCAGATGCTTCTTCAAGTTCTGTACAACAATCTCAAGCACAAAGATCGAGTCTTGACCAACAAACGAGTTTCTCGCCTTGAACTGACCGAGAACCTGGCTCAGGCTTATACCCAGGATGGCTCCATGTACGAGGGGGATATTATTGTGGGTGCCGATGGCATTCATAGCGCAGTGAGGGACGAAATGTGGCGCCTTGGAAAGGAACAGAGCCCTGGGTACTTCTCAGAAGATGAAAACTCACGTACGTATCACTGCAGATGCAGTCATGTTTATTGCTGACCTGATCGTATCAAGAGGTCCCGGTCTCGACCAGGTGTATATTTGGAATCTCGAACCGGCCCCCTTGCTACGGCAGCCGAAGTCAGCAGATGGTGTTGGGGCAGGGCCACTCATACCTGGTTATAGCGGCTCCAAAAGATCGCGTCTACTGGTTCCTATTCGACGGCCTCCCTCAGACAAAGTATGGCCGGGATATTCCGAAATACTCACAGACCGATGAAGAAGTACTGGTAGGGGCGCGACGTGGTGACCCCGTCACCGAGGACTTGACCTTTGGCGACCTCTACGACAAGAAAATCATGTCGACTCTAGTTCCACTTGAGGAATATGTATTTGATCGCTGGCACTATAAGCGTATCGTTACGATAGGCGATTCAGCCCACAAGGTAAATAGTGGCACGCATGCACTGCATTACACTTTGGCTAATAACGCGTTACATAGATCGATCCAGCTTCTGGCCAAGGCGGTAATGGGGCAATAGAGTCCGCAGCTCTATTAGTGAATGCTCTTGTGCGGCAACTGAGGTCGACTCCTCAGGGTCTCTCTGGCAATCAAGTCGAAACCGCACTCGCAGAAGTCCATACCCTCCGTTACGAGCGTTCCAAGCGCCTGGTTCAACAGGCGCACATGCTTCAAATGATTGTTAGCCAGAGATTCCCATTTGCTCCTCAGTTGCTGAAGCATATACTTCCGCTTTTTGGCCCAACCGCCTTTGCCGACGTCGTGGTCCCGATTTGCGCCGCCGCTCCTAGGATCGAAGGTATTCCTGTCCCACAGCGACCTCACTTTGTACCATTTGAAGATGAACTGCCATCAAAGCCCATCAAGGGTGGCCTCTTAAGTAGAGTGCCATGGGCGCTGGCATCCAGCAGTCTTGCGGTGTTGGTATGCGTCGCCCTTAGAAAGAGTCACATTGGTGCTGGGACAGGAGTCATCCTCAGCACCCTTCAGCAATGGGGTGCTGGAGGCATGTTGGCCAAGTTAACAGGACAGAGCCCAAGGGAAAGTCTCGTCTCCAATTTGATCCCGACTCTCTCTACGTGGCTCATTGAGGGTTCGCGGAATGGAAACTCCCTCAACCCCCTATCTTGGTTTGACCCCCTCTGATCATTTTAGCATTGTCCAGTGACTGACGTGAAAAAGGACAAGGGCCTATTCGCTCATATACACCATATCTGGGCCAACCTCAGTGCTTCCACTCTTCTGCCTGTCATCTGTCCTTTTCTCAACCCAGTCCACCACATCCAGACCAGTCGAGCCTAGCGTTGCCCAGTCCGTCATTCCAGCTGTCGCACTCGGCTACATCGCGCCAACGGTAGCAGCATTATTACCCATTCCAGATACAGAGATCAGGAGCCATGTCGGTAATGTTTGGCGAGCATTCCCACTGCTTTGTGTGGTCTTTACCAAAGGACTCAGTACAGTCCGTACTAAGCAAAACAAGACTACCGCCCATGAGGATGCTCAAGACAAGCCCGACGAGCCACTTGACTTTGCCAGTGAGTCTGAGATTCAATTCTATAAGAATCATGATATAGCTCCTCTCAAGCTGGCTTACGGTACTACTTTCACCCTCTGTGTCGCTATTCCAGTTGCCGCGAAGCTCGCATCAACTGCGGCCAAACATGTCTTCGGAAGATGGACCGAGTCTGGTCTCTCTCAAGTATTACCCCCTGCTGTGAACATTGGTTTCATCAGCGCAGGTTCGGGTCTTGTATACTCGTTATATACTGCATGGGAATTGCGATCACTCGGATATGTGGGAACAAAGGAGGCTGTTGTTGGGGGGTTGTTATCACTCGCTACATTGAGCCTAGCTGGACCTGGTGCCTTAATAGCAGGCATCTCATACTGGAGGGAGCATGCTATCTCTCAGTTGAGTATGTAGATGTGGCCAATAATCCCCGTTTCGCAGAACACAAGCGTTCTAAACACTTTTCGACTTGAAGCTTCACGTTGGATATGCCCCGTTCTTGCAGAGCTCCTACATGTTGACAATGGCCAAGGCCATGGTATTGATTACACACGCGTAAATAATCTATATTATTTTGCACCGATCAGGTCAAAATCAACTGCCTCCCGTGCGAGCTTGATCACTAGCTGAATGGCACAAGTAAGGTACTCTAGTCTTCTAGCATTTGAGTCGCCTGGCTTTTGCCTGGTCTGAGATCCCAGATCAATGGATGTTATCAAACGCTTAGTAACCTAGAAACACGTTAGTCGAGCCATTAATCTATAGAACTCTTAACATAGAAAACTTTTAAGTTTTCCAAAATGTCCGAACGCATTTAATTAGGATTAATATCAGCCTTGACGACTTTAGCAAACAGTCTTAAACACGGCCACACTATGGCCGACCATTGTGGCTGACCGTGGCGTGGTGAGTGGTGGGGCGAAATCGTGGCACGTGACCCAAGATTGATTGCTCTGGGTACTTGGCATGGTCGTAATTGCACGCATCGCAAACCGCGTCTCAGGAGTCCAGCATCGTTTCACAGCATTAGATTTAAGCCACAACCTTGATCTTAATGAGTGGTTCGTAAGTTAATCTTTAAGAATTGACCTTGGCGCCTGTTTTATCATCTTGGGGCAGAGATGACGTTATCTAATACTTTAAGCTCTAGGGTAGGTACGCCTCTCAACTTAAGCAGACAATATAGTAGCTTGTACATAACAATACCATATTATTGCTAACATTCGCAACACATAAGCACTATTTAAAATTAAAGCAATTCCTTCTTATCTTCTTTCTGCTATTTTCTTTTTCTATAGGGAGTGTGACGCATGTGCTTTGCTCTCTCCGGCAGGCCATGTATTTTACACAAATGTGCACAACCATAAATTGAAGAGGAAAACTTGCTTCTGGGAGGGCTGCTTAAGGAAACATCAACTACCTAGATGAAGCCGGAAGTTCAGCAAGGCTGATGAGGCGATGACTGGAGGGTTGGAGTTGTTCCAAATAAGCTCAATAACCGCGACAAGGAAGTCTTTAACTCTCAAGCAGGGTGTAACAGAACCACCATCTATCAGGTATGGCAGTCATGATTGGGCACGTGCATTGGAATAGAGTGTGTGATGTTTTTATTTCGTGCCAATTTCGACTGCTATTATTCTCATCAATCGCAATGTAACCGTCTCGAAAAGCTGACCGAGATTCAAGAGGTCTTATCAGAGCTCGAAGTCCCGATGATGAGAGGTAAAAGTGCAACTGTTGTTAAAAAGGCTGCACAAGGCTAGGGGACGGAGGGCTCGGAGCAACTCAACCAAAATAACACAGTCGGAACACAACCAAAGCTTATACCCAAGCCTCAATAATACAGTTACAAGTCAATGAGGGTTACAACCATATAAATGACGGGTGCAATAATATAGCATAATAATACAACAAGGATTGCAACACAGCGGGGGGTAAAAGTGCCACTCAATCTTGTCCGAACCCTCATCATATGGTCATATGAGGAGGCATGCCAAGAATGCCCCGCCACGGTAGTCAGCCACAGGTATTATTAGATAAGATCAGTGCGGCCTTACCCTTTCCCGGCCCCTGGCCTAGGTCTGTCCAAGAGACCCGGACATTGGTAACGCGACTCGCCTAGGCCCCGGAACAGTGCTAAGAGGGTGACATGGTTAGCCTACCGTAGACTTAATGTTCTTTACTCTACTAATGACGTGGCCCTATTTGTGGATTATTGCTTCTAATATCTGATGAATAGAGGTTCAAAATTAGTCCTTTGTCCCTAAACATGGCAAGCAAAATGATCAAGCCTAAGAAAAAATGGCGGGCTCAGACCTGCGTTCGCGTCCGCTTCAGTGTTCTTTGTCTGCTCAGAGAAATGGCAGACAAGGGTGACTTGAGTTATCCAACCAATCTTAAACACAGACCCCCTAAACAGCAACTCCGTTGCCCCATCCTCTATTCAGCTATTACTATGCATAATCCAATTCCAAGCGGATAAGAGAAAGATGCCTGCATGCAAAGTGCCAACTGGACCCTATCGGAAAACGGCTCCACAGAGGACCGCCGCGACGTCAAGAACTGTATCCTTTGTGAGATTGCAGGCGACTGAGCCTCCCGAACTTTTGCGGAAGCTGCCCCCAATAGGAAATGATTTATCATAAAAGGCAATGCTGTTGGTGATACATGGCAGCCATCACCTTGTGGTCAAAAAGATCCCGTAGCACAGGGATGAATACATAAAGGCAGTGTTTCCCACCGGCAGGAGAGTGCTTTCCAACCAAGTCTCCACCTACTATAACCCTTGCTTCTTGTTGTTCTATTCCACCCATTTCGACATGAACTTCACGGGCTGGGACTCTCATGTACCAGGTCAAGGGGGCTCCATGTACTCCTGGGTGGTCCCTTACGATATTTCGTGGGGGCATCTCCAGCACTATCGCCCTGCTCGCGTGAGAGGTATGGGCGACGCGGTGTGGTATGCGGACTTACAGCACATCGACGGGCTATCATCCGCGGAGATGAATCTGTGGTCAACCCCAAGAACCGACCCCTCGGAGTCTACGATGCCAACTGATGGGCCCTCCGCCGATTCGGCCTCAGAGGAAACTGATTGGGATGGTATTAGCATGGCGGATCTTCGATCAGCTGCTAGTGATGGAGCCGCATTGGCTATTGACAAGATCATGGGCTTACCCCTTGATTGGAAGCGTTGCGACGCATGATTCCAAGCAAGGCTAGCTTGGATGGGATTGAGGATATGCCTAGATTTGATTTGGCAGACCTCGAGATGGTGCACGAAATTGGAGCTTTTGACTGTGAGTCATTCCAAGGACTTTCAAGCTTATTTTCCTGCGTAACTAACGAATGAAGTCGACCCAACCGACCCAGGAGAATATCTTGGGGATGCCAGTCAGCCTCAAGTCAATATCGGTATCTTGCTGGCCAAGTGTTTCACCGAACCTACCTTTGGGTGGGGAGCTAGTTATGGCCTAATGGCTAAGTTAGGGGTTAAACGCTGATACGTCCGAATGAATGAGAAAGGATTTTGTCGTTATGGTAGTAAAGCATGGGAACAATGACTCTTGGTCATGTTATGGTTGAAAATTGAGGATTATATCGAAGAATACAACGCCGAGTTGGCTTTATGGCTAGCCAAGCTTGTCATTTACATGTCTCGTCACCATGGCCAGTTCCCATACTACGAGACCTACTAGAACTTCTTCCAGGACCCTTGGTTCGCTTAGAGACGGGCGGAATAGCGATCTCATGGGTGGGTGGCCAAGAAAGCTAGGATGAAAACTAGGTAATTGAAGAATGATTGCTCTATCGCGCTTTGTTTGATTTGTGGGATTGGAACCAGAGTCTAAATTTGAGTGGACTTCCTGCAGCCTATTGTATTTTTTTCGACCGCATCATGACCCACGGCCATGAGGGGGAGACTGGTCATGCGATGAATGTCTATTGAGTTGATGTGATTGGTACGATGCCACTCTTGGTGCAATGAGTTTACATGTCAAGAATGACTTGAACTAATAGGGATCTATGGACAATTTGTGTTTTGTCCTGCTTTTGTGACCGCTAACTTGGCTGCAGGAGGGCTGGTCCTTCAGACCATGCACGACCCCTAATTAGAGGACCATGTCATGAGCTGTCGCGGCCGCTCAATGTAAAGGATGAAGAGGCTATTTAATTTAAATGAGAGAAAGGCATTTGTATCTACACTTAATCTGTCGGCACCGCGGACCAGTGCAATAAAATTTGTGTCTGCTCACCATCGTCCATGGCTGGAGCAACTGATGTGGGGGAGGGGCGTGATCATGGATGGCGTCAGGCGAGATCCATCACCTTCATTACCTAGGGAGAAGAGGAATATTTCGACGTTTGAAATTGAATGTCGATGAACTAAAGCAATGGTATATAAGGTCACTAAATCTCCTATTATTGCCAACAATCAACATGCCACCATGGGTAAGATTCGTTAGTTGACTGCCAATGGGGGACGCCACGCACTCTGTCAAGGTCTTGGATGAGTCCGTCCACTTTGTCTGACACTTCAATCATGACAACGAAAACATGTTGAAATGTGAATCGAAATCCCTCTAATCCACGCCTCAATTACTGGCGCTCAAACGACGTGAATGTGAAAATTACACGGAGATGGAGCGCCCGGAATTTAGGATTTTTCCGTGGCCGTTTGTTCTTTGTTTGCTTGTTTTTCTTTGTTTACCTAACCACCATTCAACCGCAAATTGCTGCCTGCCTCCTACCTCTTCCGTCACCATCGCATCAGACTCTTGGTCGCAAGATCGTCGCCGCCTCGTACGTACCCAGTTGTTGGATCTTCATCTTCATCTTCACGGTACATCGACTCTCGCTGTCACCGATCGCGCATCTCCTGTCCCACAGCCGATCCAATCGTTCATCACCGACCGACCGATCCAACATGCCCACGCCGGGTCCGAAGAAGCGAAGGCTGAATGCTGTGGATGATGTGAATGCCCAGGAACTCGCTCGACTTCCCAAGAAGGGCGCCGCTTTGGCTGAACAGATAAAATCCACATGCGGCAAATATCCTTGGGACATCGCTGAAGGGTTTGAGCCACTGACTTGGGGCATCAACCTTCTCGAAGACATTAGAGCCCTGGTCAACCTCGCTCGTGGCACCGTCACCATCAACCAGGTCCGTGGAGAGCTGCAGCGCCTTGCGGGCTTGCACGAGCGCACCGATCGAGTCAACAAGCTCATGAAGGCTGATGTCGTAGCCACCAAGACTTGGGTGGCTGAGAAGATCAAACGCGCCGAAACTGAGTCCCCTGAGCCTAGCGACAAGGATGAGGACAAGGATGGAAATACTAGTCATAGAGAGAACACAACCGCAGACGACACGTCCGTGGGCGACCAACCTGTGATATCTCCTCCCGATGCTGAGGCTGGGCCGATCGTTGGCGGTGGCAAGGAGAATGAGCAAGGCCACGAGGAGTATCATGCCCGCCCCAACGACGAGCCCATTGGGAAACAGGTCCAAATGAATGCTGATGATCAATACCTCAATACCCAAACCCCGATCAGACCTATCGGCGACATCGACACTACCAAGTCGATGGAGAAGCAGGTCAACTCTGGTATGGCCGTGGCCAGAAAGCATTCTCTCCCTGCGACTTCCCCCCTGTCAGCCGCAAAGCGCCAGAAGACGGTCAATGGTATCGCCAAGCTAAACAAACTTCAGCCCAGATCCAGTTTTCAAACCAACGCCGAAGATGAACAGGTTCGTGGCTCTCTCCATGTCATCAACACACACTAACTCCGTGGCGTGGGTAGATCATGGATAGCTTCACCATGTGGCTGAACAAGAAGGCTACCGATTTTGCAACCCTCTCGGAAAATTCGAGAGTCCGGCGGGGCTCGATTGAAATGCGATACAAAGAGGCGATGGAAGAGGCGTCGGGTGCCCGAGGCCAACAAGTCACCGAGCAGGGGCTCAAACAATCAGCCGAAGCTCGTCTCAAGGCGATCAAGGAGGATCAGACGAAGGAAACAGCCGCCTTAGCCCAGCTTCTGAGTCTGCAACAGTCACACTCTGGGGTCATTGGTGATGATTTGACGGCGGTGATCAAAAAGATGGAAGCAAAGATCAAAACTTCCAAGGAAGATCTTGAAAACGCTGAAAAAGACACGGCGGCCCGCGTTCGCTTTCTGGACAAGCTCAGCAAGTCTATTGAGACGGCTGATAACAACGCTGCTCGACTGAAGCAGGAATCAGAACATCTTTCCAGGGACTTGGATGAGGTGAAGAAGAAAGTGAACCTGTCGTCTACGGCCAACATGTTCTTCAAGTATGGTCTTGACCGTACTATCGAGGCACTGGAGGAAGACTTTGGCGATATGAAGGACTGGGTTGAGCGGAAGATTGCTGGAGAGAGCCGGAATATCTAGGTCATGGCTAGGGATAGGAACCAGCATGTCTGAACACCTTGCTTGTAATTCTATACGCGTTGGAGTTGAGCGAGAATGACGGACACGCCCTTTGGGTTTGGCGTTGAGTGGACATACTGGAGGGCTTTAGTGGCCCTACGTAATTACTACACATCCATCTGCACAATAGTATATCCCCTCTTGTTGAACAATCCTCTTCTCTACAGAGAGCATTTGCAAAATAACAAAAGCCTGGCCCGGAGGAGGGGAACTCCGATATTATTGCTATTCCATCGCGCTAATCGAGGCTCCCTTCAGTCAAAAGTAGCCCTCTCATTAAAGCACAATCGATTATAAATATTCATTTTGTAACTATTTAGTGATATACTGGGTTTCAGATGTCATTCATGGTCTTTCATTTATGACTAAGACTGCTATTGATGATGTTTATTTTCCTGTATCGTGACCTACGCGAAAGCTGTAATCTGGACTATATAGCATGGCTTTCATGGTGCATGGTCGCACCATAGACCATGGCGATACCATGTGCCATGGCCCCGCTATATATACAATACCATGTCCCATAGTGCCACCATAGTCTATAGTAATATAATAGCCATATCATAGTGCCATACGAGACAAACACATGGGGATCACGACTGTGATCCCAGAAACTTGGGCTTTACTACGCTCTGCTTACATTCCCCCTTTTAGCTCAATTTCGGTATTTCTGTGAAGTTGTTTTTCTAAGGGTGTTACGGCAAGGGCGAACAGTTTAAATCTAAGGCCCTATCTACCTCATGATAAACGATGGTAGCTGGCCAGACTATGCAAACATCCTACTTGTAGGCATTCATAGGTTATTAGCATGAGTAACATGGAAGCAATCTACTCGGCTCAAAGATCAACAGACCAAATATCATCTCCTCGAATTAAGGCTTTGCATTTGATCGACCGAGGCGTGAGAAAACATGCGATTAATAGAACCACAGACCGAATCTTGAACCCTTGGCGATATGGGGTGATATAAACTCGAATATTATCTACCCACACCCAGCTCCGGGTCAAGAATATCTCTTGATTTTAGACAGAAGAAGAGGGACTGAAAATGCAATCAACGTTTGCCTGACAGGTTACTCTCTTTTTAATGTATGATGATGTTCATTTTGGGCGAGGGTGCCCAGCAGGTTTTTTGCGTCCCAAGCACGGGTCTTTTATGGTACTCTGCGGGTCATGTAGGAGTTCTTTCTGCTGTATCATGGCACTGTTCGGCGGTGTGCACCTTCCCTCCTGGGCGCCCAGGAGTCCAGCTATTTCAGAGATAGGTCGTTTTAAGATGCTTGAACGTAAAGAAAGCAGGCTTTGGAAGCTCTTTTCTCACAATTTTAGAGTGGTGGGACCAAAAGCGCGTGACTTCGGATCTGGTTGGTGGGAGGACATGTCCGTCCTCCAAGACAATGCGCCAGAGCCATCGTAATAATTTGAAGGTTGTGGAGGTATAACCAACTGAAAGTTTTCGGGTTGTTGTCTCAACGATATCTCCATCGGGCACAATATGAAGGAAGACACTGAGATTTTTGGTGTCATTCTTATGAGACATGAACTCCCTGCCGACAGCGGCGCCAACCTTACCACTTCTTCTGCATAAAACGGAGCTCCTGGACGATATGGAAAGTTAGCCTCTGGACGAGTCGTGCTGGTCGGTGTTTAATGGAAGTTGTGAGTAAAGAGAGGGTGGCACAGCTGCAGCTACTGTCGCAGTGTAGAATCACAGAACCAGTCATGCAGAAAAAGCCTTCCCAAGGAAGCTGTTAGAGGCCGAGTCTATTCCTTTCTCCCGAGAATAGGAGCCATAGAGTGTTCAACATGATCATAGACACCGATATATTGTTTATCGTATTTCCATATACCTGATGTATAAACAGAAGATGGCATGCATCTGAAGCTGGGTGACTTCTTTGAAAATACTTTGTTTAATTTTTGTTTCCAAATCGTCACTCTGAAGACAAAGAAAAACAACAAATGGCGGGGGCAATTCGAAAGACAAATCGAATGTAAATGAACACACAACCTAATGAAATCGTCTCGTCATACGACAACGACCAATTTGGCGAGGCATCTGACTATGCTTGGGAGTTTCAAAAGCCGGCAGGCTGTGGTCATTGCGGCATAATGACCTTGGAAATTATTTAAATCTCTAACCTGAGGAGTCCCGCCGAAGGTGGGCTGGATCTATTTAACGTTGACGCCTTGCCTGCATCACGAGGAGTCGGCAATCTCGTACAAAACGCACAATCCCATACAAGGTTCCCTTGCAAGATTTGACAGTCAATTAAAGGCCATGGTTCCCACCGACGTACCAAGCACGTGAACTATGCATCCATGCCTGACCTGAATGCGTCGACTTCTGTGACATGAAAATGAGCCTGCATACGAATAATCAGCCATCATAACAGGGCTGGTGATCGTCGAGGGAGGTTGGCAACCGACTCAATGAACTATGGTAACTACATACTTCTTGCCTGACATAAAGGCCACGTTTCTTCAGGTGCAGCGTTATTATTTCTAACCGTGGTAGTCATGATGAGGCTGGTGAGGAGCGCCCTACTACGCCAATGATCCATCTTGTTGCCTAGTTCTGGGTAAGGTATGAGAGTGGGATATTAACGCCCTCAAGCAATACTATACACACTGAGGCTGTGAGTTCCCAAGTGCGATCACATAGTTGATGTGGTAGGGAAACCTTTCGAGGCTTTTGAAACACACGCCCGAGATGTCCTGGAAGGACCATGGGCTTTCTTTCTTTACCTATCTATGAAGATATCGGTGGTCGGTTACTTCGAAGGGTTGCTCACGGATCCATAGTGGTTTGACATTAATGAGATGCGATCTTATGTCATTCACTTGGTCGTGCTCTCGTTGGTGTCGATCGCCTAATGTTGTGGTGAGAGATATCATTTGATTTTTGCCGATGCAATGGAGAATATTAACACTACTGTCCCAAGTCTCCACCCGTTGTTCTAGGTGTATGAAAGATATTTCATTGGCCACGTAGTCACTGGGCCTTGAGGCGCTCACAAGTAATGACTGAGGAGACTGTCATGGATCATGTCTTGCCACGAATAGTCCTCTAAACGCGCATAGAACCCAGCAACACAAGATCTGGCTGTTCAAGAGCTCCCTGGTTAAAGGTCGAGGAGATTGAAGTGGATTCTAGAAGTCAGCAATAAGTCTGGAAAGTGCTCGTTGTGTTAGGGAGAGCGAGTGGAGTACGGAGACTATCCCACACATATATATCTCGACATTTGCATGGAAGTTTGAGAACTCTCAGGCCATGATTGTGAAATCATCGTTAAGGGATTGCAGAATCGCCATTCCACCGCTTGCCCTGGAAGGATATCAAGACACGACCTGCCACCATAAGACAATGAGACCATCTGAGCAATGCCGCAACTTCTTTTGGTCCAATTTTACCCGATTTTAACTCAGGCCAGACTTAACATTGCGTCATCGGGTCACAAAGCTCTAGCAGTAAACTCCAGCTATGTTACGCTCCATCAAAGAGCGAACTAATCGCATCGATTGGAATCGGCGTTAGCAATAGGCAGCCACTATCAACAACTACATTCAATAGACAGCGAAATATTTCAGGTTCCAGTTCCCAGTGTCGTTTGTGCTTCATCAAAATGCTGCCCGCCCACTAGTTCTCAGGTAGGCTCCGTTGACAGGGCACTCGATGCCAACTGAAGCCAAGCGGTGGGGACCTAATTGAATGACGACAACATAGAACGAATTGAGGAAACTGCCAAGACTGTAAATTGATCCCACGAACTATATTCTCTTATGGTACATCTCTTCCAGTCCTTGAATCCACACAAGCACGTTCCAAGTGGGGGATGCTGGGGTATGATGCCATCGTTTTGGACAGCCGTGAAAACTAGCAATAAGTCTTGTTCAGAGGGTGGCTAGACCCACCAGAAGTACTCGCTCCATCCAGCCTGGAACAAGACCTGGCTAGAACGAGAAGTAAGAGAAATCTATGGGAGCGGCAGGACTACCAAGATCTCAGTTTCAGGCCATGGATTCACAGATGATGTATCATGGCGAGGTTCATATGCTGTACGAGTTCTGTCCATCAGTTGTTTCTGTCTGCTTGCATGCTTGAAGGGTCTCCGAACTAAGTTAGAGTATTTTAAAGTTGGCTGGAAGTATATAAATGTTGATGTTGAATGTCCTGACGTGTACTTTGGGTCTGGCTACGCAGGAAAGGCTGCTTTGTAACTTCGGGCGCAATCTAACCTTGATGGGCCGACTTCCAAGCCACGTGATGAGAGAATAGTGGTCTCTATGACTCAACTTGAAGATGAGTTTGATACTAGTATATGAATTGGAACTTATAAAAAGAACTTGTGTTTGTTCTTATGCTGCATTGAAATTTCTGGGAACCGAACAACTCACACGCTTCCCAATGCCTCGATCATGTTCCTAGTGTCATGGCTGGAGGCACACAAGCTTTTCGCTACGCATACCTAAAGGTCGGATTAGCTACTAAACGATTGTGATCTGGCAGAGTGTTCTTCGAATTGTTGTGAAGCTATGGTCCACAGAAGAGGCTCATTGCGATCTTCAAGCTCACCTCTGCCCGGATACTTTAAGTGAAATGTGATATCAGGAGGAACGATATTGGAAATCTCATATGACTGGCTATATATGGTCTTATTGCTAATAGCAAGTGAAAGAATCGGGGCATATTCTAAGCATTTGAGATAATCGAAGCCTAGGATTTACGGTGATTCTTTAGAACAGCTCAAATTCTCTTACAAAGGGGAAATTTCTCATTTTGGAGAAGGTATTTAATGAACTTGCACCATGAAGTGTGAAAATCATTCTGAGTGCGAAAATTCCGACGTCAAATAAGATGAGGATCACCTCTGGCATTTGACACTATTCGGTATAAAGCACGCCACGCACGGATAACCATGCTTTTTGCTCTCAGAGGCATCAGTAATAAAAGAAACGAACTACAAAAGACGAGGCAAAAACGACTAATTGTATCATTGATTATTTGGCGAGAGAGGTAGTCAAGCTGTTTAGTCAGTCATAATCTTTGACAAACTAACCAGATGTGAACTGAATGGGATTCTTCAGACGAATAGCGATAAGCAGCTTTGTAGGTGTAAGTCCGATTCTCCCATTGAATACCCCGGTTGCATCTCATCGGCATGACTACTACTCACTGTGTTAGCATTAGGTTCTGGTGCTATGATTCGTTGCGTTGACAATGTGTTCTTTATTATTGTTGAAGCCCGGCCCTTGATGGGCTAACTGAGCCAGGAGATCGACATAAGTACCACGCGAGGCGTAATTGCTCCTATCATTGTCTCATGGTCTCCAAAGGCCCTGAATCACGTCGACAGACTAACTCAACGATCCTCAAGTGGCGGTATCCCGTAGTCTGCATTTCCATACAGAGCCTGCTCGTGGAATATAGTAAGGAGAACTTTTGAACTGGCTTACTGTGTTATGTCCAAGTCCGGACTGTTGTGGCAGTGGGTGAATAAAGGCCGGTCTGAAGAAATCAGTTCCAAGGGCTGAAGAGCCTGCAGGGAAGCCCAGGGAAGACCGGGGCGGGGTGGGCAATCCGGGAGGAATAAAGGATGGGGTGATATCAGAGATGGGCCGTCCTGGTGCCGCCGGGACGAAGAGAGGAGGCGGTTGTCGGTGTCTCTCATTGATGCTGAGGCCAGAAAATGAAAGACCCAGGTCATCGTCATCATCTCTGATCACAATGGGTGAGCTCCGGGCCCCAGGTCGTGCACTATTTCGACTCACAGTGGCCGGATTGTTTTGTGCTTGGCTTCTTGTGGTTTCTGGCGTCAAGCCAGCCGCGATGAGCTGATTACCAGTATCGCCATTCCAGTCATTTTCCAGCCAGTTCTGGGCAAAGGCAGGCCAGTTGGATGTCCATCCTCCATTACTAAGATCGATTGACGTCACAACTTGCTTCTCAACCAGCTGGTTAAACAGACGTTGTAGTGTTGTTTTGATGCGAGGGTAAACGAGCGATGGGTATTCCGACTCGGGGAACCAGCAGTTGAGGTTCTTGTTGAGCTCGTTGAACGCGGCCTCACCAAATTCAACGACTTGGTAGTTTCATCTGTTGATTAAAAGTTCTTACCTGGTCACAGTTTCGCTTATTGACGCGATATTTGGCCATGTGTCGAAACATGACCGTCTTTGCACCTGCTGTTTATCGTTATCATACCCTTGAGGAAGGCCACAACAGAGCCATTCAACCATTCATTTCGTAACAAAACGAAGAGTTGGGAGTTCCTCCATCTCCCCCACTAGGAAGACTAGACAACCGGATGAAAGACCGGCGAAGGGGATATATCACACGCACCGAGTTTCTTATATCCTTACGGGAGTGAGACACCGTCACATATATCATCCGCTTTTCAGTTTTAGGAACATTGGCAAGGCTAGGTCTAGAATCCTTGACGTTTTATATTGGAGCTCCTATCACGATCGGGACTTTATGCGCGCATTTTAATAGCAAGCTAGTTATGAGTAGCATTTAATATGCTTGGCGAGTTATTCTTCTAGCCTTCTACAGCTATCTAGTCACTCATAGTTAACCGCTAAGATGTCCTTCTAGTTGCAGAAATGCTGTCACGACACCTCTACAATCACTGGATCTCAACAAAGATGGTATGAGTCTTTCCGAGGCTGTCAAGCGCCGCAATAGCTGCCGCAAACTTGGGATCATCACGAACTGCTTTTGCCTCCTAGAAGCACATGTCAGTCAGCAGGAGCAACCTCAATATCTTGGTCTGGGATATTTACCTCAAGACTGTCCCATCCAGTCACACCTAGACCAGCCTTCTGCCCATCACCGGCGCTGACACCACCTGCCGTCTCTTTTCCTGCCGCCTTGGCAAGGTTCTCAAAAGCTTCCCTGGCCTGAGCATGCTTGCTGGTGTCGGCGATCTCAAGGACTGAGAACTGAGTGATGGGCTTCGGAGAACCATGAGCCGGGGGTTCCGAGACCTCAAATCGAGCTACAAACGGCTCCGGTCCCCCATGAGCCTGGAATTTGGCTTTCCGCTCCTTAGTCCACGACGAGTTCTCAAACGCATCGGCGTCCTCGGCGGATTTGAAGACTAGGAGTGTATTAGTACCAGTCCCAATAAGTGAGGTTAATCTTTTAAACCTACTAATGCCCTGGAAAAACTTGAAATCAGTCGGAGGCACACCATCCTCAATCAGAATTGGACCAGCCAACACATCGAGCACGCCTGGCTGAGCCTTCAACTCGGCCTTCTGGGAGGGCCAGTCTGCAAGGACATTTGCCTTGTGCTCAGCGGGGATAGTCGGGACAACGATCGCAAGGAAAGGCATGGTTAATGCTTCTGGGATGATTTGAGAGTTGTCGAGGAACGAGTTTGTTTAAAGTAGGTATGTAGAATAGGAGTATACAATGTATGATGAATTGAGTGTTGTGGACAGTGGCTCAATGAAGACATCTTGAGTAGTATTTAAACCTTTGAAGAGTAATTGACGACCTTTGTCACGGCGTTCGGGAAGATATTAGAAGCCGAACCTGTATCCATAAGAGCCGCAAGCTAGACGAACAATGCTGCGCCACGTACTTAGAGGCAGGGGTCCCCCGTACTTGCAGTATCGGTGTTACATGAATGTCACAAATCAGTAGCGTAAATGAACTTATAACTAATAGAAGCAAGAGCCGCTCAGTCAGCGGGTTATTGGCGAGGCCGATAATCCGCATAAAACTTCCCTGGCTGGTTTCCTTGTAGCTTTTTCTGGTTGCGCCTTTTGACATTGAGGATCCTTTGGGAACTCGAGTCTGCCCGGATGGTGGTGCGAAAGTCTCCGACGACTGGAAGCTAAGTTAGCATAGCTTAATTTGTCCGGCTGAATGCGGACGACATTGCCATATCTAAGGTGGAATTTTACTTAGAGATGTGTCCTAACACGCCTCTTATCTGATGGTAGCCAGAAGGGACGCGACTTAAACGCCACAATGACGACCCGAGAAAAGAACAAAGTGGTTGGAACAATTCGTTGCAGGATACAGCTGGAATGCGATATAGGAGCACGGCTCTATAATGACGGGCCTAGGATGGGGCAAAACGCGGCTCGAGACCGTTTGCGAAAGATTCCATTTTCATGACAGAATCTGACTGTGACCACCGCTCTGAGGAGAATTAGCTGTACTGTGCCAGTCAAGGGCTATGAGACACTAGCTCAAGAGCTTGGCTTAGCTTCAAGCTTAGCCACTCTCTTGGATTAAATTAATCAAGCAAATGGACCGGCGCCCCTGCGCCCACCGTCGATTTTGCCGAGCCCGACCTTGGTGCTCATCAAGCTCACGGCGTTAGGCCTCTTACCTGGAGCCCGACAACTCGTTCATACCCTGGACCCTGCCTGGGAGCCCCGGGTTTCGGATTATAGCGGTGAGCTGCTTGGGGGGGTCGGGATGCCGCACCCCGAGAAGAGGAGATTGACGACCCGATCCCACTCACTTCAATTTTTAGCTCTGTACGTCTTATGCAACGAAAAGTATAATAAAAAGTCCATAGATAAGCTAATTCAGAAGCTTCATCTGCTAGATCCAACAGGCGGCAAAATCAGCTGCGAGTGATTAGGATAAAGATTTAGGAACTCTTATATTAATCGATATTTAACAAGTTTCTTAAGTCTATTTCAATGAACTGCTTTCTACACTAATTGTACCTATACAATATTTATAATTGCTTCCTTATGCTATGCAAAAATTAAATACTCCTCTAGATTTATGATCTAATAGATACTAATACTAATTCTCTTAATCTTCGGGCTTAATTAACCCATGAGGGCTAGGCTGTGACTATAACAAAGAATAAATATTTAATACATTATAATATTATAACCTTTGCGTCGCCAAATGCGCGCAAAGATCACCCGTGTTGGTGGCAAAGTGGCTCCTTGCTTCGTTGGGCGAATCAATCCCAGTGGTCCTGCGTCGTCCAAGCCTGAGGCTTCCTCTGCAAGCTGTGGAGGCCCCAGTTATCAACGACTTTTCCATGCTTGCTAGTTCAACTGATTGCCTAGCAGACCCAGCAGATCATGTCCTGTTTGTTGGTGTAAACACTCATGGACGAGCTACAGTGGTTGTAGGCCCGGGCGCATCAAAGAGAGCACGTCCTCGCCGGGATACTCATAAAAATCTAGGTTCTGGTAGGTGTGGTTGTGTGTCCGGTTGAGTCGCATTAGTTGTTGTTTATGTTATCGTTTTTACTCTGCCACTTCTGCCTCAAGGTAAGTCCAAAGTAAGTCTGCTAAGCCATGAGCCACCAGATCGGAAATGCCCAAAACCCTTGAAGCTTGCACATTTCGGGCCCATCCTCGTCCTTATAGCCGTCTTTAGCACAGTTCGCCAAGGCTTTGTGCGGCGAGTCGGCGTGCTTCTTAAGTGTCGCGCTTATCCTTAGGAGTGAGGATACCCTCGAGAGGCAGAACTAGACCGCCTCGAAATTCTGGCAAGGAGGGCTCGGGTTGCATCCCACTGCTGGGCCCGTCTCCTGTTTGAAGTCTCCGAACTCGACCCGGTCCTTAATAATGCTTGTCACTTCTTGAAGGGTTTCCCAGAAGTTGTTCTCATTACTCTGCGTCGCCTTGACAGGCATGACCCCCTCATGCCAGCCGTCTACGTGATCAGCCGTTTCGTCGCAAGTGCCCTTCTAGTCTCACTGAGAGTTGTGTATATCCTTGAAGTAATGAAGGTGCAGTCCAACGACTTTATTTACCGACCATCTTGCCACTGGGAGATGACACATGGCCTCCTTAGTGGCGGCCCTCCTGACCCCCCGGTATGCTGCAAAATTTCCTTCGCAGCCGCTGTCAATATCTTCGTATTTTTCCAAAGTCTTGTCCAGTATATTCTTAAGGATTATTTGGAACAAGAAGGTGCCCAGCGCGACGGGGTGACATGATGAGTCGTTCGATACGGGAATTGTTATGCAATAGGGGGTTACGTGGATGAATAACAAGGCAAAGACCAGTCACGTTGACTTGTACAAAGGCTTGAACTTTGGCGGCACCTCTGGCTAGGCCGCCGCCTTTGGTAAGGTCTCCGGTAACAGTGGCATCTCTAGTGGCGATGAAAATGACTCGAACCTCTCGGGCAGGAAGAATTGTCCCCGTAACAAGTCGTGCGCCATTCTTGACGAGCTGGCCAGCGATGACGGCATCATAGGCGACTGAAAGGACGTACTTTTCTTGAATATCTCGGAGACTTTGGTACATGTGCAGGCACGGCGTCCAAGTCGATCCGCGAGCCTGTGGTAGAGCCAGACATGGACATCTTGAGGGGCCAGTTTGGCATGATGAAGATGCCCGCTATTAAAAAGATTGTCCCCCTCCTAGGCGTGGTCTTTTCGCCCGAGACTCCTATTTACACCACCTCTTGCAAGGCTGTCCTATCCGTTAGCCGTGGAAAATTTACAAATGTCTTCTTTGTTAAAGTTGCAGTCGGGCCCTTGATGGCTGAGATAACCGAGTCAGAAGACCGCAGCGAATCTGGTGCAAACGTGGTCAGCTTCACTAACGAGCACGATATCGACCGCATCGACTATAACTAGGACTATCCTACCGTTGACGACCGCCCGGACATCCTATCCGCTAGCACTAACGAAGGCAGGTACTATCTCGGGTTCCTCAAGATGGTCAAGAATAGGCCTCCCAACAAGTCCGGCTCCATCGACGCGCTAGTCTCGTATTGTTCCAGGAATTTTTCAACAATGACATCGTCAAGGTAGTCGACGATGTTGCCCAAACAGCCTACGATCTTCACGGCCAATGGAACCACAGAAATAGGTACTTAAGTCGCGGTTGCGGAAACGGCAGCTGTCTCCGTTCGCGCATCAATATCACCGAGACCAAGGCCTCCCTGGCTGGCCATGATCATAAAGGATTGGCCTTTGTGGGGATGACAGGTTACGGTCGAAGCCTTAGCTTATTCGCATCAATGGTGAAGACACCAGGAGTGACCTTGTAGAAGGAAAAGTGTATGTTCGTGTACTTGTCCTTGTTCGAGACGCCCTTGCTCCAGGTTTCAGAGACTGTAAGGGGAGAATAGCTCACTGTTTCCTGCTGCTTCTTATTGCCGCGTACCTTTTGGGGCTCTGGGGGCGTAGATAGCATTGGAGATGAGAGGGTTGCCCTTGGACGAGCAGAGCTCCTTGCCAGGCCAGATATCCCTGTATCCGACGAAGACCTCGGGGGCTTTTAGTGGGCTCCTAACTCTCCCTGGCCATCAAGTAGCTGTTAGAGGTAATTCTCCCGTATCAGTCATCATTGTTGATGTCCACAGAGCGACATTTTAGTGTCAGTGTCTGGCTGCCGCCGGATTGTGCAATGTTAGCACCGAGCGTGTAGGAATGAAAATGTGGTGCCCGTTAAGGGGCTTGGGTGCTCTACAGCCGAGCAGCTCTCCTGTCGTGCAGCAGATGTGCTGCAGAGCTTGACGTCGCTTTTGTACTCAAGCTACTCAGCACTGTTTCCACACCCCCTGGCCAGGCAAGCGCAGACGTAACCTCTCGAGCGTCTCGGCACGGAAAATGTCCGACGCCCTGTCTAGAATAGTTTACCTACTAGCCTCTCGAGTCCAATTTGATGATGTCCATGATGGATTAGAGTCGAAGGTAATTTCTCTCTAGATAGCGCTCATGCCTAGACTCTCGAGACATTTGGTATCATTGAGGGATTCCTGCATAGGACTCATGTTTGCCTAAAGGTAGGCAACAGTCTCTGCAGCTTAAGAAGATAGAAAGGTGGATAATTCTTTTTTTCTCATACGGAGGTTAGAGCAGCTAAAATACCTATAAGAGATTAGATTTTTATAATATAAAAGCTAAATATAACTCTTCTATTATTATAGAAATTTAAATAAGCTATTATATTAATATCGGGTTATAATATTATAATATGTAGAAGATCTATTCTTTATTATAGTTATAGCCCGGCCCTTGATGGGTTAACTGAGCCCGAAGATCGTAGTGTTAACTTCACATAGACAAGAGTTGCCAGTCACGCTGGGCAGAGGTAGATGGCCGAGACAATGAGAAGAGGAGAGGGACAAGAAAACATGGTGCCCAGCCCCAAGAGAAGAGGTTACTGTTCCAAAGTGACTGCGCCACTAAGAATAGGTCCACTAGTTACTTAGCTCAGTTGCTTCAATTCACCCTTTTCAACAGTTACCTACCCTGACCATAGCCTCGTCTGTCCGAAAACTCATCAGAACATGCATATCAACTTACGGAAAAACATACCAGGTCTCCGCAGCCAGTGTCAGGGCCTTAGATGTTATGGACAGCCAGCAGAGAGTCCACTTGAAGCTGCATAGCCTAGAGGCGCATGGAGGTGTAGTAATTGGAACATTGTAGGCATGTGAGGAATGAAAGGGGATCAGAGTTTCAAATGCAGCACGAGTGACATAAGAACTTGAAGCGGCAAAGGACTAGACTGGGCCCGACGCTGTGATGAAGACCTACTATGCCATTCTACTGAGGTACCTATGGCTCGACACTGTACACTGTTGTGCCATCATTCATGGCAATTTCATGACCATCTATTACCCAGAGCATATATTATTCTTTTTCCTATTCTAGCTGATGGGATCTGTTAGATGATATTCTCCGCCTTAATTGCGGTTAGTCCTTATATACATGCCTCGATCAGATGCTCCGTACGTACGTGAGACTCGAAATCTTCTGCACCAGCACTGTCAGCTACTGTTAGATAGGCCTCCAATATCCCTGCATCACCATGAGACCACCCACTGTTCGGCACTCCTAGCTGCGAAGAGGCATGGATAGCTCGGCGTCGTAAATGTGAGTGAGTTGGATATGCTTAGTCGGAAACCATGCTTGGCAGCCCAATTTGCCTCTTGTGCTCCCCCCCTGCTTTCCCCAATCCTTTTAGTAGGTTTTGTTCGATCAAGGCTTTTCTCTCACTCATACGACCGTCCTGAGACACAACATCACCATTGCTGAGACCCACACGATGACAATGAAGCATTATCTGTGGCTGATGGCCTCTTGTCATATTGTCATTCAATCCAGTTGTACAAAACCTGATGAAGCCTCAAGCCCTCCAGCGGCACCGATGCCTTTACTTGCTCAGCTCAACGCCAACAAGAGCCTCATATTGTACGACATGTGCCGGCCTCAAATGCGAGTAGACTGGAGTAGACTGAAAGATCACAAAGGGATGAAAGGATTGCGGCATTGAAAAGTGTATTTCCCATCATGACCACCTGAACACCATCGACTCCATGTCAGGCCATTTATGGGACTTGAATAACCCGACCATCGACAGGGTCGAGCACTGGAAACAGAGCAAGAATATTTACAGCCCCAAAGAGCTTCTCGACGGCATCTGGTACACCGAGGACATCGAATCGAGGCCAGGCCATATCCCACCGCCATTCATCGCCTCGTTGATCGCATGTCCGAGCTGCAGAGGGCAGCAGATCTCTGAGGCCACAATCCATTCGGCGCAGAGCACGGAGAAAACAACCATGCCTAAAGAGATCGCAAGGATTGCCAATGGAGTCAGCATGGATGATTTGAGATGATTCTTGTTAGGGGAGTCTAAACTAGGAAAGAGAAAACCATCTCATCAAGCAAGCCTTTAGAGGAGACATGGTTGTTATGTCGCTACAAAGAGTTATGGGCGCAGATGATCCAGGACACGTTAAGTATATTTCTCGACGCAAGTGCTGGAGCCTGGTCTCGGGTCCCCAGGTTGTGTTTGCGTGAGGAGGGTCGATCGATATATACTAGGTGGGCTCTAAGGTGACGCGGAAAGGAGTATGTATCTCGGAAGTGGCTCATACGAACGGTCAGCCACTCTAGATCTGATGCATGTAACAGCAAGGCGTAGTGTGAATGTACTACGTCGTGCCTTACTTTCCCCCTCCCTTTATCTCTTTCTCTGATATGGTCCGGGGGTTCCCCACTCATCTGAATCTTGATAATATGGCTTACTATGAGTCTACTCTTAGAGTTGCGCAAACAGGTGGCTGAATATCAATGCTAGTCTGGCTCTCTAGACTATTTCTTTTGTCATATGTTGGCTGTGACTGACCAACTAGCCAACCCCGTTGACACACGCCGAAAGGTGATAAATGAGTTGACTCTGCATAGTCGGAGATTAGATCTTTGGCATTAGTAAAGACGAAGAAACTCCTAGGTTGAGACATTCTACGATATTTGATTTTGACACCATAACATATTAATAACTATGTCATTTGCTGTTGTGGTTGATGGTTTGTTGTATACTCGTCATGACAGACAATACTAAAAAGAGGGAACTCTACCTTGAAGCGTCGTGGCCGTCACACGATGAAGACTTCGTCCATTGTGTCTGGGCATCAGGCATCAACGCGGCTGTGAGCTGAAAAAGTTTCGATTCTAGCGGGAGCCGGGTTGGATTGGCAAGCTAGTAAGAGCTTGGATGATACTGCAGACAACCCACCGTAGGTCTCTCACAACATCCTCTCTCTGATTTCCATCCCTCTCATCCTCTTAGTTTGAGAGTTTGAGCTGTCATCATTCTGGTCCTCCTGCGGAGATAGTTAACTCTGGCCACTGACGTAGTAATTGCTTTGTTCTCTTACCTGAGGAGACTGCTGCAAGTCAGAAAGGTACCGCTTAGCCACGGCTAGCAATATCACGACTACATGGTCGCCGCGACTGCTGCCCCATCAACTAGTACAGATTCTTTCAGCAGTATCAAAACACTTAAGGAAGTTCACGACCGCATTTTCAATAACTAAGCCATGTTAAGTCCCGTCGAGAAGCGACATTTGTACTCCACCATGGCTAACAAGCAATGTGTCAGCACCGCCAATCTCATCCTCTGGAAGGGCCTCAACCGCGGCTGTACCAGGTCGTGGAACATATACACGCTTGCGGCTCGTGTTCTGCTTTTGCGAGAAAGTACGGCATCCTTGCTGCGGATATCGTCTTGCGAAACAGCCTCAATACGGGATGTACCAGCGTTTTGAGCGGCACGTACGCCTATATCAACCTCATTGGCTTCGAGCCCCCAACCACAGCCAGAGCGGCGGCAACGACAACGACAGGCGACGAAGTCCAGACGACCCAAGCCATGTAGTCAGACATAACCGATAACCCTAACAAGTCCTACATTATCGGGGAGAAGATGACCTGCCAGGGGGTTACCGATTACAATAAGGCCGCGCAAGCTGACTTCTTCAAGTGGAATCCCGAGGTCGACAACGCCGGCATCATACCACGATTGGGTGTCTATGCTTATACTAGTATGATTGGATTAACTCCCAAGCCGACTGCCACAGCTCAACCACCGAAGACTAACCTTGGCAACGGAATGTCAATACCCCATTCCATTCAGCCCGGCATGGCGTTCAACTGAACCAAATTTTACATCATTGTAAGCACCATTATATACAAGGGCATCTTAGATTACAACAAAATTTATAATGGCCAACTTAGAAAAATGGAACAGAGGAATCACCTCGGCCTACTGCAATCTTTGGCCAGGGAGCTACGCCTATGTAGGAGTCATGGGGTGAACGTCACTATCCACTACCACAATCAAACTCGCCGGCGGTGTTGCCACGACCACACCCACCCACGCCAGAATGGCCAGCGAATGTGCCAAGTTCCACGAGGTTCGAAAGACAACGACCTGCGAGGACAACTCGAATTACGACAAGATCACTCTTGCACAGCTTTCGAGGTAGAATCACGCCGATGGGAAGGATTGCAGAAGTCTTTGATCTGAGACACATGCATGTGTTGCAAGGCCTTGAGGGCCGCTCAATGCTAAGGGCGAAAGAAGTTACACGTAGGCTTTGGGCATTTGAGCTGTTAAAGAGTGGCCTTGATAGGCAGACATCAACCATAATGAGAGATAATTGACGGTTGGTGATGATGTACTCCTGACGAGGTAGGTAGCCTTCTTCCCGTCGAGGAACTAAATAGTGATCCCAATCCCTATAGTACGACCTATATTTTTAATTGCTAGAGACTGCTATGATATCTTATTATATTATATCGATCTTTAGGCTTAGTGAACCTATTAAGGGCTAGGCTAGAACTATAATAAAAAATAAATATGTAATATATTATAATATTATAGCTTAATATTAATATAATAGCTTATTTTAATTTCTATAATAATAAAAAAATTATATTTAGCTTTATTATTATAAAAGGTTTAGCTTTTTATAAATATTTTAATTATTTTAATTTCTATATAAGAAATAAAAAAATTATTTTTATTTTTTATTTTTTAAGGTTATAATCTCTTAATATTATATCTTTAAATATAATATTAATAAGAATTATAATTAATTAATAATATAATCTTATTTTTATTATTATTATTATTATTATTATTAGACTTTATTCTACTTAAAAAAGGGATTAAAATATCTTAGTTAAAATCTTAATAGGTTTAATAATAAAGGCTCTATACCTAAAGCCTAAGCTTAATAGGCTTAAATTAATAAGGTTTATCTATATAATTATTAATACCTTTAATAATAGCTCTATTTATAATAAATAGATTATATCTTAACTAGCTAAAGAGATTAATATCTAACCTCTTCTTATAATAGCTCTCCCCTCTATTATTAACCTTCTAATTATTATTATAATTCTTAATTACTTAAAGAGATATAAATCGCTTTTATTATCCTTATAAGAAAAGGTTTAATTATAATTAATAATTAGCTAATTAATTAATAATATAAAATAAGATTATAATAATTACTTTTTATAGAGACCTCTAATTAAATAATAATACTAATATAGCTAATACTTATTAATAGGCCTTCTTATATAATTAAGATAATCTTACCGAAAAGGTCTATAAGCTTTATAAAAGCATAAAAAGCACTTATTATAAGCTTTAAGAGGTAATATTATATAGACCTATTTAAAGTATTATAATAGGTATATAGCTAATTAAACTAAAGGAATAAATAAAACTTATAATCTTTAGTTATAAGCTTTTTCTTTTACTTAGCCTTTTTTACTTAATTATAATATAAATAATTAATTTAATTTTATTAAATAAAAGCTTTCTTTATTAAATATCTTTAAATAAAAGCTAAAAGAATATAGGTAATTAACCTAAAAAGAAATTATATGCATAAATAGCTTAAAAGATAATTATATATACCTATATAAGGCATAGCTTATAATACTTATAATAAATATTAAGACCTTTTATAATACTAAATAAGAAAATTAAAAAGGTCTTATTATAGCTAGCTAAGATCTAGCTATATAGCTATAGGTATAATTATATTAGGAAATAGAGGTTATTAGTATTATAGGTTTACTTAGAGGGATTAATTCTTAGAGTTAGCGGTAGAGTTTTATAAACCTAAAAAGTATTAGCGCTAAGGCTTAGCGCTAGACTTAGCGGTAAATAAAAGTCTATAGGTTTAATTAATTAAACCTATCTAATTAAATATATAATATATAAATATTAGCTTATATAAATATA